ACATATCGTCATCGCACCATCGACTGTGTTGAGCACAGCATCAGCCACATAAGCCTCTTGCAAGAGAACATCCTTTCCGGTGTCTTACGTAGAGCTAGCGACTGTGAGTGTGCGCCAGTCTATCCATGGTTGGGGTTTAGCCAACCAAGGCATGCCTAGGATGAGGTCATACGGACTCTCCATACCTAGCACTGTGAACTTCTCTTTACAAGAGAGTTCATTGAAACTGAAGAAGAGTTCAACTTGAGCTCCCTCCGATTGAACGAGCGCGCCGTTCGCTAAACGAACGATCGCCTCTTCTCGCTTGCCATCCTGGCAAAGCGACTCATAACTCGCCGGTCTCCTTTTCAGAGCCGCGAGTTTCACAAAGTTTTGTGATGCACCCGAATCCACGAGAAGGGTCATCACTTGGTCATAGCCTCGTACTCGAGCGCTATAGACCAAAAGGGTTGAGGTCCGACCTTTCGGAACCTCAGGGACTATGCTATCCATTTGTTCGATCACTCTGAACTTAAAGGTATCTTCAGAGTCCGAGACAGTAGGGCATCCCGCCCCTACTGCGTTCCTATAGTGAAGTGCTTTCCTAAATTGTGAAGATCACAGGGGCCAGTTGGATTGAATAGACAAGGGGACGTGGACCAGAGAAAAGGTACCCCGCACAGAGAGAAGGGACCGGAGAAAAGGGTACATCGGAGTAAAGCGACCGTTGGCTGAGAATGTGAAAGACAAACAAAGGAAAGGTCACTACCTGGGTACCGTTTAACCGGTACCGAAGGGAGTTGACAATGGCCCCCTTTGGAAGACCCGGTCCCTCATTGGTGGATCCGGTCCCTCATTGGGGACCCGGTCCCTCATCGTTAGACGTGGCCCCTCATCAGTCGGCCTGGGTCCCTCGTCGTTCAGCCACTCCTGACCAGTTATTACAAGGATCAGACCAGTCGACGCATGGAATTAAAGCTTGAGGCAAGTTTATAGTAAAAGAGGAAAAAGGATAGGACTATATTAAATACCACTCAATTTGTGATCTACGTGGCACGACTCCGTCACCCAAAAAGAACTTGCTCTAAGCTACCACCTGTTCCGGTAAGGGATACATTTTGGCCCCCCGTCGAAGACAGTTGTGTAGCGAAGTTCAAGTGCGAATAGAGCTCCAGGGTATATTTGGCCTGTGAGCTCGTTCGAGTAGTAACACCCCCCAAGACCCGCTATCGGAAGCGGTCTCCCTCACCTCAAGGTCCGGGAGCAAAGTAAAGGTCAGGTGGTTAATATTCCTAAAATAAGGAGGAAAAGGCCAGGGATAAGCTCCCTGAAAAATTTGGCTCTAAGTCCACTCTCGACAAGGTCGATCGAGTGGCCACCTACCGACCCACCGAGTGAAGCAATCCACTCGAGGCCCCCCATGTCTACCTCCCTTAAGGCAGACGTCTACATCCTCACCAATTTTCCGAAGAGTGCAACCCGCCAGCCGACGGGTACACAAGGTGAGAGAAGGTCCATACGCGGCATCGGGTTACCCCCTCCGACAGTCGGCAGTCCGGCACAGTGAGTAGATTGGGGTCTCATCATACAATTTTGAAAGATTACTCCACCACACTCCCATATTTTTTGACCCACCTTGGGCAGGTACTGAATCTGTGCGTCGTGCACGCTGATTCTTTGCGCTTCCTTCGGGTAGGGAACCTTTTTGCTGTATGCCTTAGCACCAGTAACAAGTTTGGCATAGCAGCGAGCCATCATATGGCCTCGCTTACAGCACTTAAAGCAGACCACGTCTGCATTGCCTAACTCCATAAGAGTGGCATCCCACCTCTCGGCCGACGACTTATAAAAAGCTGTCGCCGAGGCACTGTTGTAAAATATCTTCCTAAACCATGAAATTTTGATTGCCTCCTCCATCGTCTTTGGCACCTTTCTGAAAAGGGCCTGACGCGATGAGCCTTGCTGTAGTCCATTCATGAACGTGGCCACCTTAATGTGTTTCGGTATCGGACCCACATTAATGGACGCCGACAGCGAACGCATCTCCTGCACAAAGTCTTGCAGAGGCGTTTCGCCTGTCGTTCTCCAAAGAAGCGCGCCTGAAGTAACAGGCGGCTGTTGCATGGCACGAATCTTTGGCCTAACGATCGCCCATGATGGAAACGCATCGGCATTTGCCATAAGCGCAGAGTAAGCCCAATCTGAAGCTTTGCCACGCAAATTGTACATGGCATACGATACCATTCTGGTGTCGTCTTCGATGAGCTGCGCCACTCCACATTGCTCAACTGCTAATAGCCAGTGAACAACCGTGTAAGGGGTAGTCCCATCAAACTTCGGAGGGTCCATCCGAATGGGCCTCGGTTGAGTAGACCGTGCAAAGAGCGTCTCAACAGTTCTGTTGAGCGCCTCATTCCGAGCTTGCTCAAGCCTAAGCTCATCCTGAGTCTTATTGATGGACTCAGCCGTAGCTTGGCTGTTTACCTCGGACGCGTTTCTACGCTGCCCGAGCACAAACGCCTCGATTTGCTCCAGCTGAGCAGCATGTTGCTCAGGAGGACAATGCAAAAGGTTGACTAGAGCTTGTTGTGCGATGTTTAATAGATTTAAACTGACTTATATTCAATTATATTATATTAAATATAAATTTAACTACTGATAGGTTAATTATGCAAAGATTGAATACGCGTCTCTTTAGAAACGTATCCTGACGCATGAGCTTAAATGTAAATTTAAGCTCGCAGGTGACGTCTGTTGAAGCGTCACCATGCCAACTGGGCGTCAATTCCGTTGAATGTGAATCCATCCATGGATATCACATTCACGAGGGTGGGTCACATTGATGTGCCACACCCAAGTGGCAGGCCTAAGGTACCACGTACGGTTTTAGGCCTGCCCGTTAAAGATCATACAGTATACTTATCGGGCTCGTGTAACTATCAGCCCGTTACATATACACGCAAAGTCAAGAGAAAACATACAGGGATGAGTCGAACAAATTGATGGACGAGCGGCAAGAAGTGCGTGTGACGCAAGCGCTGTACGGCACAAATCAGGTGGCGCGCGAGTGAAAGAATAGAGCAAAGCACAATAAGGCTTTACGCGGGCGGCAGTAGATCTTTGCGTCTACGTGTGGCGTTCGGCTACAAAATTAAATGTGATGATTATTCACGTCGACGACCCTGACATTTGCGTAGACGTACAAAGCACATCGATGTGATTAAGCGTGCGTTAAGACTAAGTTGAGGAGCTGGACGAGCTACTGTCTCAGCATCGAATTGTGACGTGGCCGAGGACGGAAAACTATTCACATGAATTAGCGATGCAAACTAAGCGGCTGGCGGAGAACTTATGTGTTGACAAGTGCAACAACATGTACACGCCGACAAACGAGAGCGAGAAGAAGCGAATCAAGCTTGATGAGGATGACCTGTTCGTGCATCAGCCGAGTAGACGGCATTGTACGCTGCAATGGAAGAGTCGGTCTGGCTGCGTCTGCTATTAGCTGACATAGGCCATACATTGGAACATGCGGCGACGATCTGTAGAGACAACTAAGGATGTGTCGCGGTGGTTAAGTATCCAGTCTTTCACTCGTGCACGAAACATCTTGATATTAAGGGTCATATTCTTCGCGAGAAGGTTGATGATGGCGTCATTGAGCTCATATACAAGCCAACAGACGAAATCGTTGCGGACGGGTTGACAAAGGTGTTTGGGCGTGTCATATGCGCGAAGCTCATCCCAAGTTGGCATCTTTAGGAGTAAAAGACCCGCAGCGACAAGTGCAGAGTGTTGATCAGAGGTGATGCGTCTCGTGCATGTGTGCATGTGCGTGATAGGATGGGTTTAATATGCATTTGTATGTGCGTGATAGGATGGGCTTGATATGCATTTGTATGTGTGAGTAGTTGCACAAGACACTTTGGAAGATTGTGTATGTCGTGACCAGTTGACAGCACTAACTTAAGGTCGTAGATTGGATACTTGGTTGTTCAGCCGGTCAGCTAAGGGACAATAGAATGACAGCACACGATTCAAAGGTTGACTCATCTTCTTTGGGCTTTTCAATCAGAATTGGCGCAGGTCTAACGAATCGTTCTTCCCATCGGTGATTCTTATGAGCGACGCTTTCATGGGCTCATGAAGAAAGGCAGCTTCGGCATTAGTGGCGTCAAGGTGGACGAGACAAGATCACCAAAGCAACTTGCAGCTTATATCATGGCGTTGTATAACATCCTGTATCTTCTGCAGCTCCTGCTCTGCTTCCACGTGACACGCATAAAATATTCTCTTCCTACAGCAGTGTAATGAATGATACATATTGTGAACGCGTTACATGCGCTTCAACTACGACTTCTGACATGAACAACCAGCAAGTAGTGACGGCTCTAGCCGAGCTGCTTCACATTGTTTGCTATTGCATTCACTTAGCAAAGCTAAAGTTAGATAGACGCCTTGCACTCGCGTCTATCTTTACATTCATTGTCGAATTGTTAGGACCGCTCCAATGATGGAAGACCGCAAAAGATGGGAGCCAAATTTGTCAAGTGTCACAGCAGATTTAATTTATGTGTGGCCTGTGCCTAATGAACATGCGGTTCAAAGTGTGGGCTATATACTAATCAAGGTACTCGTCCTCATCCTACGTCGTCTACACACCGACTCTTTCGTAACTCCCCGTCAAAATGTCAAACACGGATCATCAGTAAACCTGCGCTTATTACGTTTGTTATAGTCTCTTTACTTATATGAAGCATATGTAGAGCATGTGTAGAAGAAGCTTTAAGCTGTCAACACATGTCTCGGAGATTATGCCCTGTCAGTCGCTAGACCACTTTATCAACTACACTTTTGTTTGTTTACAATGCATTCAGCTGTTCTGGAAGAGCTGTCGATATGTTTTATGTGCCGATCGGTCGATGTTACTGTAGAAAAGCCAGTCATATTGCTGCGGTTGTTCGTTCTCACTTGGCTATCCGCTTCCAAACCCTCAGAACTCCATCAAGATATTTTCAAGCATGATCGCCAACCCCAACTCAAACCTGCCAAAGCGTCTGCAGTGGTATTTAGTGCTAGCAGCGCTGACATGCGTCAGTGCTAGTCCAAGTACTGTCGAGCCAAAGACCATTTTTGCTGGTTCTGCTTCTCTTAAGCAACAACTTGGTGTCGTCGGCCAAAGCGATGCGCGAGTAAAGCGGTATTTGAGAAGAAACTCGGATGCGACGGAGAGCATGGACGACGAGAACGAAGACAGAGGTGGCAACTTAGGCCCCGCCATAGACCAAGGTTTAGCAGGCGCCATCGACTCGGTCGAGGGTGGTGTCACCTCTGGAGTAATCGCAGCCATAGACCAAGGGTTAGCAGCAAAGGTCGGCGAAGCTGGAAAGTCTGATGTCATTCCTGGAAATTCCGGCAAAAACGTCCATCTAGTAGCAAAGGATGGTGAGTTGGTCAAGGAGACGGTTGGCTCAAGTATCCAAGACGACATAAATCAAAAATTCAAGAGCGTTATGGGTGACAAGCTCGAACTCTACGAAAAGGAGGTAAAAAAAGAGGAAAATGTTGAAAGAAAAAACATGTTCAAGAGTGAGGAATTTACGGAGTGGAACAACTATGTGGACGCTAGATTTCCTAAAGAACCCGCAGCAGCAGCACAAGCTAAGGCTGAATCGCTTCTAACTATATGCGAGAGTAACGATTTGATCAAAATGCTAGCGACCGGAAGAACGGACAAGAATACGCGAGCAATCGCCAGCAATTTGGAAATGGGTCTGCTGAGAAAGTGGGCTCTAGCAGGTGGTAATGAGGACAACATCATGGAACTGCTAACTTTTGGCAAAAGTAAGAAAGAAGTATGGGCGAGTGACACTATGAGAGTATGGTTCGATTTTATGATACATCAGAAAAGAAATCCATACGAGCTGTTTGTCACGCATTTTACGGAGCGCTCCAGGAACAAAGAGCTAGTAGAATTGATTGATGCGACGGAAGACGACACTTGGGCCAGGACAGTAGCACCTATATTTGCGGAGCATCTGCTGCAGACCTGGGAGGACAGCGATATAAGTGTGGTTCGCAGCTATGAGCTCCTTGGACTCAACAAAGAAAATCCAGATAAGCTTTTGAAAAGTCCGATGCTGAGTTGGTGGGTCAATTACGTTGAATTGCTGGGATCGGATCCATATCAAGTGTTACTTTTGACGATGAGGAAGCACATGAGTGACAAAAATATAAATTCGATTCTTGCTGCGGCAAAAGCTGATGGCACGAATGAGAGCATTTGGCGGATCCTGCTGCATCTGCAAGAGAAGCGTCAGCGTCTAAAGCGGGAGCATCCTCAGGCGGAGAGGTGGCAGATGGATGGGAAATGGGTTGTCGATGTTTTTAATGATCTGAAGCTCCAAGATAAAGGCCAAGAGATGCTTGGAACCAAAAAATGGAACGCGTGGGTGTCTTATGTAACCTTCTTGGAGGAGCAAAAACAAGTAAAAGATCAAAGAGAAACTGCAATGGTTATATACTCAGTGCTAAAGAGTAAACTTAGTAGCCAAGACCTGACCAAGTTGGTCGCTACAGCCAAAACTGTCGAGGAGACGCAAGAAATTGCCAAAAAATGGGAGTGGCGAATCGCACAGCGAACTTCGGACGACGTTTTCGATCTTCTGAAACTAAAGGAGAAAGGGGATGCGGTATTTGAAACTCCGGAATTCAAGTCCTGGATGTTTTACGTCAAAGAGTTGAACAGTGCTAAAAAGCACAAAGACGACGTTGAGCTTGCTTATCGGCTGTACGGACACTACGGTCCCGATGTGGAAAGAATGCTCAAGAAATCCGAAAAGACAGCCAGTGCGAAAAACGACGAAGATACGAAATCGATCGTCAGGATGTTACTCAAAGTGTTTGAGAAAAAGAAGTCACTCGAGAAGACGTCACCTGTGGAGATGGAGCTTGAGAAGACGTCGCCCGTGGAAATGGACATTGAGAAGACGTCACCGGCTGAGATGGAGCTCGAGGAGACGTCACACGAGAAGAAGCGGCTCGGTAAGAGGCCGCGTACGAGCTCGCTTGCTGTGGCCACCGAATCCCTAAAACGAATGAAATTGCTGGACGAATCCGAGCCACCGATGGGAATTTGAAGTTGGCGTGACCAAGCGTTGATACCACAACAGAAGAATGAGGTAATTTTGATCAATGTGAACCTACGTGTTTTCAATTGCCTTCTTTTCTCAATGCCCAGGGCATTTCTTTACATGCGATTTGGAGTGTCTTTTCAGCTGTGAATATACACAAACTTGCCATTTGAGTGTCTTCTTGCAGCAATATGACTATCTACGTCACAAAGGAGGCCCAGGAGTTACATTCCGGAATGCTACATTGAATGCTACATTCCCTTCCGGCATTTAACCGGTGTTTTGCCACACGATACGCTTCCATTCTGCGGCAACTATCTCGGTCCTCGCAACAATTTGAGCGCTAGCGACTAACCTCTACCCGATCTTCATCGCAAAATCAATTCATCAGTACTGGGAATCTTAGCGTTGCAGTGTTTCTTTGTTTTTCTGGAGATCACGTCGCACTTCCAATATGTGCGTCACAGTTTGCAAACAATAAGTCCAGTGTTATTGTAGTCGATCACTCTCGTCAATCGAGTGATCATGTCTGGAAGGATGTCCACCAACAAAGCTTAGGTCAACGAAAATAAGGCAATGATGGGGTCAAAGACATGGAAGCCTCCCATGAACACAACGTGATTTACAATTGTCATTACTAAACTAATTTGCTTCCTGGACACGATAGCACCGAAAAACTGACATTAAGGTGGGGCGCAACCTAGTCAAGACAAAGGATGTAAGCATCAATTACGACGGACTGTTGGGTATAAGCTGACCGCGTACAATGGCGGTAGCAACTGTAGGGAGGTCGGTAGGTTGGTTCAGGATCTCCGGTAGCGGCATCACCGGAGGAAAGTTGACCGTGGCTTTGAGCGAAAAACTTTGAGGAGTGTGCTGATCAAGTTGACGGATAAATCTGCGGTATTGATGCTACACCGATCGCGTGCAATGAGCAAGAAGCAGGTAGAGATCTGGTATCCAGAAACACAAAAGCTTCTGCTCTTCGAAAACCTTGAGACGAATGAAGTGTACAAAGGCTTCGCCATTTGGCAGGGAAGTTATTTTTGCACATAAGCGATAAAATCTAAGGCTTGTCAGTATAGATGCTAGCAAAGATGTATCTTGGTAATCGCCAGCTGAGCATGTCGTAACGTGACAACATTCAACACATCCGAATCGGACATTACTATCCATTGCCGATGTCTAGAGTCATATAACAAGCTTCAACTTTAGGTCAGACAGCAAAAAGCTAAATACGACCGATTGTGGAACAAGCACTTACGTTAGCAAGGCAGTGACAGACAAATATTGGTTGTTGGCCTTTATCCTTGCAATCAAGTCACTTTTCAGTGTACCAGCTACAAGAGCATCATTTTTGTGGTTTAAAGCAACATCATGTCAATTAAATTGTTTCGTGAGCAGGAAGGTGCTTTGGTGACTACTCCCCATAGTCTTTTATTATATAGAAGATAGATGTAGAATGCCTTCTTTCTAGGGAAGTTTGCTTTAAAAATGTAGTGAAGAGCTCAAGTAGTCACAATATACTCTATTAATAATTACATTGTGATTCCTGGCCATTCTTACCCTCTTTGAATGCAGGATGTATACAGACACAAGGACTTACCCGCTAAATAACATGATAGTTAACAGCTCATAGACCAAAGTAGAACCTGCGTAATATGCTGCTGCCTTCATTGATAACCTTTCTTACCTGCTATATAAATGTGGTCCCGACCAAAGGTACCCCGACCAAATGTACATGTTTTGATACTGCTAGACTTTTTTCAATACTAACCCATGTTAACAAATAGATGCTTTTGGTTATATATATATACCAGTATAAACAGGTTCTACTACAGTATAGTACCTTCAGGGAAAGTGACCCCGCGTACACTACAGGAAGCGTGCAAACAAACTGATCAGATAAAAAGGAACTGTAGTTAACATAATTGCAATGTCAACTAATACTGCATCAAAAAAACACCGAAGTTATATAAACTCACCATCTAATCCTTACCTCATCTTATCGGCGGCTTTGTTGGTTAATATCATGGATCGAGCCAATAAATACAAAGTTGGCAAGAAGCTTGTGGCTGTCTGAAAACGGGCGTGCGTTCAACGAGCTGCCGTTCGATTGTCTAAAAGCTGATTACTAGCCAAATAACGCAGAGCTGAGTCATTTGTTAATACAATGTTTCCTTGCAAACACGAGTTTCGAATCTCACTGACGAGCTATTAATTCAATAGACACGGATATTCGATGCTTGAGCTACAGCACTTCAGTTTATAATTTAGCCATTTTCCAAGGACGTCCATAACTCTAGCTCATGCATCACTACTTCGTCTTCAATGCGCGCTTCAGCCTATGCAGACATCAGAACTAGCCTCTTTCTACCAGTCGCGTAGGGTTCATGAGTGATAAGCGCTATATTTATCGAACCGTCTCGCTGAGCTTCGTCCTATCTTGTTGCTCGGTGCATTCCCTGCTTTATCCACCAATCCCTTCACACCCGGGCAATATCAAATTGATGATATTGATATCAACGAGTCGAAATTGTACCTTCAGTCTTCTCTACGTGAACTCAATTGCGAAGGAAACAATTGCCTGGACTATTTTCTCTTAGATTCTCATTGCTTGATATCTACCTCGTCCTCCAACACGCATTACAGACAATCTTTCTAGAAGTGATCGCTAAAAACACGATTGCGTTCTACGAGCCCGGGTTGACTACTGGGTCCTTCAACACTGCCGCTTGGGTCCTCTGCAGAGCTGCTCACGTCGCCATCACGATTGTGATTTTGGCCTCCATTCCCATTTAAATGTCCACCGTCAATAGCGCCGCCGTTGTCACGCCTATCTACACCTTCTTCACCTTCGTCCTCGCCTTCACGATACTTAAGTAGACTACGTTCCACGAATGGTGATGTGGTACGGTACTCATCTGCGACCCAGATTCGTAGTGTCTCCAAAAAACGGCCATCTCCTTCACTAACTCCACCGCCAACGCTGCGAACTGGAGCCTGGTTGTCATCCTCTAGCTCCCACTCTGTCTTGACCTCAATATCTTCTCGGTCACTGCATACGCGCATAAGGAGAGGCACAAACACCTTGCGGACATCGCGCCGAATACTGGGTATTTCCAAAGCACGCGCCTGCAAGTCCTTTGATGATTTTCCATTGACAATGTCAGCCAGCCAGTTAAGGCAAAAGTTAAATTTGCGCAAGTTGGAGCGGCAGATCTCAAAGCGCATGAGCTCAAGCAGATCCACTTCCTCGGCTAGGCGAGGGCAACGCGCAAGCACTAGCTCCTGCACGCGATAAAACAACTCGTCTGAGTTTTCCAAGCCATGACCGCCAAGACAGTAGCAGTTCTCGCAGAGATCAAAGCCCACGCACGTGGCACACGAATAACGCTCTCCCACAATAGGCGTCATCTTACAGAACTGACACGATGTGCCCTCGTGTGTATACTTAGCATCCCCCTTAAAGGTAGCTGCCACGCGCTGTTTGGCACCAGCTGCCATCGTGCCAATGAACTTGGCAGCGTTCAGCCCGGCCCACTTTCGTTTCGCCGCCGAGGTATCGGGTAGCTCTGCCGACTCGGACGATGTGTCCATGTCCTCTGTATGTTCACTTACTCTCTCTTGAGACAAAGAAGCACCAGCGACATTAGCCAAATGATAAGCAACTTTGGGCTTGGATATATACATTGCCTTGCTGCCCGTACTAAGTACACGAGGCATGTGCGGCACAAGCTTTCCCACATCATCTATAGACGGACCCAAGAACAAATGATCCTTGCCGAACCGTTTCTCACCAGGCACAAATCCACCCAAGACAGAATCACGGCGACGTTCGATCTGAATACGCACATCTGTCACCAATGTACGACGTTCCATCGTCGAGTACGAAACCCTCAGTGCCGGGTGCGACTTCAATAATGGCAACAAAAATTCTCGCAACTCAGCCTGCCGTTCCGCTGACAAGTTTCGGAGCACAATCTGCGACTCATTCACAGGTTCATCTGTTGTGTCCGGGTCCAATGCACCCATAAGCACACGACTTGCTCCTTCTTGATGTTCATAAGGTAATTTCCGAATCAACTCTTCCAACTTATCAAGATCCAAAGCTTCTTCAAAATTGCGTATAGATGGAATTTTTCTGTCTTCCGTCCAATCTCGAATCGTCTGATCAGCTGTTGGGTCTTCCAATGGCAATAACCCACCCGATGAGATGGGTGGTGGAGTGCCTGGAGGTGTATCCGGTTCATCATCACTCTCATCGTTTCCATAATTCGATTTCAATCGATCCATTGGTCCAAATCCAACTGTATCTCTTCCTTCTTCTTCAGCCATTGCTAAAGCTGCTGCAACACTTGAACGTCGTCTCATTTGCATTTGTTGAACTTGTTTTTCCAATTCCTGTACCTTATCCTGTTTTTCTTTCAGTCTCGTCATTCCTGCTTCTTGTTCATCTTTCAGTGCTTTCTGAAGTCCGTCAATGCGTTTTTTATGTACAGTAATTTTTTCTTCTTGTCTTTGTAACTCTTCATCTTTCCTGTCCACATCTTTCAAAAGTAACGCATTTTCCGTCTTTAGGGCCGCTATTTCGGCTGCATATTGTTCTTTTTCTTCACGTCTGGCTTTCCGTTCAGCTTGTAATGTCTGATCTGTATCTTCATTACTCTTTCTTTCAGCGGCAAGAGCCGCGACTGCGACTAATTCAGAATTTCGTGCTTTTGCAGCTTCCAATTGTTTCATTCGTTCTTTTTTAGTTGCAGCTTCTAATGCACTTACAAGACCACGTAAGGCTGCCCCTTCTTCTTCTTTAAATTTCATTTCTTGTTGTAGAAAAGCAATTTGTTTGTGTGAAGCGTCCAATTTCCCCGTTTCTAACGCTAAAAGTTCATTTTCACGAAAAACATATTCAAATTTTTTCTTCCAACGGGACAAGTCCTTCTTAAGGGTCATATAATTCGTCTCATAAATCTGAAGTTCTTTGATCTTGGTAGCTAATTCCTCCTGCGTCGCACGTAACATCTCCATCTGCTCGGCACGCTCGGCATAGCGAGCCGAGTTGCTATTCGTTACGTCCTCCCCCATAGAATGGAGAAGAAGAAAAGTAAAAAGTAGCGAAATGAAGTGAGAAAGTGATGTTTAATTTTTAATTTTTGACGAATGATTAGACTCTTGGGATTAGTTAAGTATTGCTTAAGTAAGTATAGGACGACGGTGGTACTTTTTTGGTATTAGATTAAAAGATGACGACGATAGCCAATTTATTTAGTGCAAATGGAAAAGTATTGATACCCCTTATAAGAAATAATTAATAATACTTTGTACAATAGAATTCCCGATGCCTTATATTAGTGTACTTTACACGTCGTTTAAAGCATCTACATAAAGCAGTTCGAGCCTCAAGCACCCTTTTACTTAAAACGTGCCTAGTCACGCACAATAATTGCTAGCTTTTTGTGCCATAGAAAATATCGCACTGCAGCAACTTACACTCTTAAAACTGTAAATCTTACGTAAGAAAAAACATTACCTAGCGTTCGTTAAGCGAATCCTGTATCTCTGCTCGAAAATAACACGTCCGACTCAACACGTATGACATTAATTCAGTCCTAATCAATGCCTTCTTGTAACAGGGTTACAGGACGGTTGTAACATCATTCCGAAAGTTTACGGTTAAACTCCCCTTTGTATTGCATATAATGCATTTTAATACTTCTCTTTAGAGAGGTATTAAGTATAAGCGCTAAAGATACGGTATTCAGTAATACCGTATCTTATCGATTAGGATTCGATAAATCGATAACGCTGTATTAAGTACATGATACACAGATGTTTAGACGATACGTCGTCCAATAGCAAAGTCTGCATATAATAGTTACTATTATAGTAATTAATTTAGTGTAGTGTACGTAGAGAAGGACTATTCATAAAATCTTAAAGCATAAACAAAATCAGTTCTCCTTTTGAGTTAAAGATCGCAAGTCATTCTGACTTGTTCTCTTGTGCACTTCGTGAGTTGGTTCTCTGAACCTCTAAGCTTCTAGCTTGTTCTTGCACTCTGTGCGTTGGTTCTCTGAACCTTAAGCTTATTGCTTGACTGACTAAAGTCTCTCTCCTAGTTCCTTAGAACAGGGTGACTTTCAGTCGTTTAATTAGTTCCTTAGAATTAGGTGGCTTTCAGCCGTAAATTTATTTAGTTATCTAGAACTAGAGGCTTTCAGCCTAAAGTCTTCCTCTGGCTAAAGAGCTGTGTAGCCTCGTACACTTGGTAGGAAACATGAGTCTTTAAAGACTGACCCTTTGTGAGAATGGAGAATCAAAATCACCTCTCTGAGGCGCAACGACTCGCACTCGATAGATTATCTGCGTTCGTTGGGCTCGATCAAATCGAGGTCCTGTTGTCCCAAGGCCCAGATGTCCTTAATGCTCGCATTAAGGCCTTTATGCGTTATGTAGCAACGCTACTCGGGCAGGTCCACGACCAGGAAGCGTCAGTGCGCCTACACAGTACATCCCGGTAACTTTGCCCGATGCAGAGCCAAAGGCTCGCCCACTCGTTTTAAACGTAAAGACCTTTGAGGGAAGGATGGAGAAAATCTTCTCCTCTGGATCCGAGAAGTTGAAATGACAATGGATGCCGCCATGCTTGTGTCAGATAAGCAACGAGTTTTCCTGGCCATTTCTAAGCTCGGTGGAAGAGTTATAGAGTGGGCTCTTACGAGCGATGTCTCTGTTAATGCCGAATTTCCTACATGGGAAATGCTTAAAAAGCAATTGACTTGCGTGTTTGTACCACCTATCCAGGCTTATTGTGCGCTCTCAAGCTTCTTAGCTACCCGACAGGGTAAAAAAGAATTGTTGGACCATGTCTAAGAGTTGGGAACTTTCATTGCTGATTTGCAGCAGGACCCTCTGGCAGAGGAAGTCCGAATAACCATTTTCATGGAAGGACTTCGTACTGAGGTCGCCAAAATAGAGGTTTTTTGTGTCCAGTCTTCTACTTTTGAACAGACAGTGAGCATAGCGTTTAACGCTGAGTTCATATTTAAAATTGCTAGCTATGGTCTACCATGGTATAATTTGAATGCCTTCAATAGGGCGGAACCCATGGACCTCAGCCATGCGGAAGAAGATGAGCTTCAAGCTGCTGAGCAGCAAGGTAACATCCGTAGATGGTACATGTGCGAAAGCACTAGGCATCTACGCTCTAGCTGTCCGTTGTGAAAGCAACGTTCAAATCGGCAGAGCCGAAATCCTGCTCCTAGCCAAAAGGCGAGCACGGCAGGGGAAAATGTCAGCCCCCAGTAGACGCGGGCCTCCCTACTGTGAAAGAACTAAGCTCTGTTGAATCTCTAGGAAGTGAATTTAAACAGGGCTTAGCCACAGATGTTTCTGTGGATGCTTCCATGGAACAAGATTACAAGCCAGGCTTGTTAGTTGTGTTGACAACCGTTAAGGGTTTTGAGAAACCATGGTCAATTCTAATTGACTCAGAGGCGTCAGGTATTATGTTCGACTTCGTTCCCTTTAAGGAATTCAGCTGTATGCTGAGGCGCAGAAGCGCAAGAGGGTGACAGTATCACCGTGCGCCTCGAGACAGGGGTACGTGTCGCCGTGCCTAAAGTTCCGTTGAACTTAGGTGTGACCTCCCGAGCGACTCCGAGGCCGAGACCTATTACGAGGCTCGGAAGCATACGGATGATACGGTTGACAACCTCGGCTACTTGAACACCTTCGGAGATCGTAAGGACGCGCTCTCACTCGCCGTAGCTCGTACACCTGGAGCTCCGAAAGGCTTCTTTCATAACGGGCAATCCATGGACGAATATGGTCGGGCATGCCTCGCGCACACACCAAGTCGTCCCATTCCTGCCGGACCAGTCGCGATCTGCCCACGTTGCACGTTGAACATCCCTCACGAATGTGGACGTAACAAAGGTGATACTCGTCACAAGTCATGCGACAGATGCGCCGACGCAGGTCGCCAATAGCGTGTCGATTACGCGTTCCCTCGCGACCGTCTAACCAGGACGTGAAGGAAGTTCCTTCACGTCGGCTCGCGTCCCAGCGCCTGATGAAGGCACACCAAGACCTCTGCAACGCATCGTTGGTATATGCGTTGTTCGTCGCCTTGCCTCTCACGGTACGGTATCGCGTGAAGAGGTCCTTCATGACCTCCAGTGGCTCGGGTTCGACAGCACCTTCAAGACCATATAAGCGCCACGGTTTCAAGTCCCCATCCATGAACCTGCGGCTCCTGCTCTCTTCGTATTGTCGCTTGGTGTTCCCAGTTCTGGTTGTCAGAGACATTGTTTCGTGAACGCCCAGGGTCCATGCTGCTCAATTATGTCTAACTGAGTAGAAACGAAGTTACGCCGTTGGTCGAGAAGAATCTTCCTGCAAATCGCAATTACGTTGAGGTAAGCGCAACTTAAAGAGGGGGGGGGGGTGATGTAATTAGGCAACCTATTACATAAGTAGTTATAGGGATAATACATAATTACATAAGTAGGCATCGGGCAGTATCCGATTAGCGGATACTGCGCGTCATTTTATTATTGGTTTATTATTAGGGTGTTAGACCCAATAATTAGCCAATAATAAATTGACTTCCATATTGAAGGGTTCCCATGAGCTAGAGAACATATTCGCACTTACTGCGAATTAAAACAAAACCAAAATAAAACAGAGTTATATTTACAAGTTAATTAAGAGCGCTTCCTCAACGCCCTTTTAGTGTAAGACGGTAACGGGTCCTTAGCCCGTTTCCGACTCGTAGTCACTCCACAGCAGCCGGTGTGTGTAATTTTGAGGTATTCCACAAGGCGCTTCTTATGCTACCTTAACGGGGCCGAGATGATGGGCACTCTGCATAGGCGCCCATTCAAACAAGCATCAAGGGTACGCGCCGCGAGAATTCGTCGCTGTCGCTAGATGACTGCCGCATCTAATTTCAGGCCGTCAACGGAGCACAGTGATTCGTTCAAGTTACAAAGTGGAAAAGAGGATCCTTCTCTTATTGCGGACTGCAATGAAAGCACGGCACTGCCATCGCCACACAGTGGTGATGAGAACAGTGCGCTGATGCAGCATTCGCCCACTAAAAGTGAATTACCTACTTTTGAGGAAGCTTTCTTGCTTCAACAGACTGAGGTTTTAAGCCTCATCATCTGTGCCAACGAGCGCAGCGAATAGTACTGAGTGTGATATACCTACAGTTGCAGCTGTAGTTCAACAGAGGGTCGGCGATAATAATACGTTCGCCTCATTGGAGACTAATGCTTCACCGACTATACTACAACGTGTCACAAGCACGTTGTCGCGAGTGCGGCTAGGTCTGGTGACATATCTCCAATGCCAATGCCATCCGAATGGTTAAATAATAATAGGAAAAGTGCGTCGCTCCAAGAGTGTGCCCTATTGACGCTAACTAATTCTTAGCGTTCTTCCACAATGGAAGCAAAAGGGGGAAGTTCTATATCGCATTTCTCTTATTTTCATCGTGTTGCGTTCAAAAATACCACAGATTAGTACAAAGCTAATTTCCTGCGCCTTATGAAATCGGATGCTAATTTGATAAAGCAACAGTCGCAGCAAACAATCTTGCTACCCGGCGTGCTAGATGTATCTTGAGCGGTAAAGTACTCCCCCTTTGATTCTCGTCACGCTGGTCCTGCTATTCCGTCTAGATCTATAAAAAAGGCAGTAGCTGGTTTACCTGCTCATAAGCGGACTCTAGTTCCTGAAAGTCGATATGTATAGATGATATCGATTCCTTAAAAGTCGAAACGCTTCGAGTATTATATTCATTGGACGAGGAAATGAATATTTTTTCTTCACAAAGCGGTGAGCTAACATTTTTTTAGCAAGAAAGCATTTGTTCCTACCCACATCTACAAACGCAGGTGGCGCCCAATAGGAGTGGCGATTAAGCCCATCTACTCGCGGCTGCTTTATTTATGCCGTTCAATCGCAATCGGGGAACGCTGCGCTGAAGAGGGAGGTGACTAATCTCGAGAGTCGAGTCTCGCGACTGACTTCGAATCTTCAAGATGTAAGGGCAAAGGGCCGTTAGCGGTATGACC